ACGTTCTCTTGCTAACATCTGACACGTTCCGCTAACATCTGACACGTTCTCTTGCTAACATCTGACACGTTCTCTTGCTAACATCTGACACGTTCTGTTGCTAACCATGTTCTCCTCTCCTCCTGCTCTGTCTTAAGACGGCGTTCTTGGTAAAAGTGACGGTAAGGATCTCTGTCTGGTCGGAGGATGGAAGTAGAGACGTCTGTCTTGTTGGATGTCCTGACCCTCTGTGTTCTCCTGGTCTGTCTTCTCTTCCCCTCCCTGGTTCCTCAGAGCCGCTGTGGTTCCGTGGACCTCTGCATGGACTGTCTGCATGGACCTGCTCCTCTGTAACGTCTCCTGTTCTGTTTCTTTCAGCGGTCAGTTTCCGCTGTCCTTTCGCAGATGGTGTTTGTGTGTTTGGTGTCTTCGTTCCTGAGAGTCTGCGTCGTCTGGACATGTTCTGTTCCAGAGAAGGTCCAGATCCTCAGAATCCAAAGAAGTTCTGATGAGATGTTGGTTTAGAAGCAGAGGGACTCTCTGAGGTGGAGGTGTAGAAGAAGTAGGGTCAGTCTGTGAGCTTTAATGGCTCTGATAGACTCATAAACACCTCCTACTGCTTCCTTCCTCCAGGTGGTTTATTTTTATGTCCTTATCTCACCAGGAGCTATTCTTGGCTGGTTGTGAAACATCCTGTTGGTGATGTTCTTGCCAGGTGACCTTTGGCCCCGACTTATCAGAGCTTCAAACGTTCTGACAGCAGCAGCGCCGGCGTTTGTTCCTGCTAACATTTTATGACGGCTAATAAACCAGTGAGAGTCTACGATAAAACCTTCCTCTGACTGATTAAGCTGAAGCAGTCCTCTACGTCCTGAATGGATGCTTAGACTCAGAACCGGTACCAGGACAGATGGAACCGGTACCAGGACAGATGGAACCGGTACCAGATGGTAGCATGGTTCCTGCAGCAGCTCAGGTTCTGCTGGGTCAGTCAGGATTAACCCACAGACAGAAACACTGATGCTCTGAGTTGGAGAACCAGACAGTCTGCTGTAGAACGATGGAACGTCCCTTTCGGTACCCGGTCCAGACCCGGTCCGTACTCGGACCGTACCCGGTCGGTACCCGGGCCGTACCCGGACCGTACCCGGTCGGTACCCGGTCCATACCCGGTCCGTACTCGGACCGTACTCGGTCCAGACCCGGTCCGTACCCGGTCCGTACTCTGTCCGTACCCGGTCCATACCCGGTCCGTACCCGGTCCGTACTCGGACCGTACCCGGTCCAGACCTTCTGTCAGAACCCGTTCCAGATTTGCTAACATCAAAGATGGTTCTTGATGCTGCCCTCCTCCTCCTCTCGTTCTCCCTGCTGATCCAGCTTGCATCCTCAGCTCCTCCTTTGATTCTTGAAGATGTTTTCCGGCATGTTCTCCCGGTCTGTGACCGACGGTCCGTCAGTCTGTTTTCTTTGGTCGTAGGTAGACGCTTTGGTCAACAGACTCCAGGTGTGTCTCACTTTAGGTGAAGAAGTTCTTCTCTTCTTTTTCCAGGTCGTGTCCGTACCAGACGCCAGAGCTCAGGCAGCGTGGGCGGAGCCAGTCCCTCAGTGGTGGACAGCAGGGGGCGCAGTCGAGCCAAGGTGGTCTCCCAGTCCCAGCGTAAGTCTGAGCTTGATCTCCATGTTCTCCTTTCATCTCCATGCATGCTCTGCTCTGCTGACTGAGCCCTACTGGTAGAGCTTGGAACCCAGAGGTTCTGAGTTCAACTCCCACTGCCTGCACTCTGGGTCCCTGAGCAAGACCCTTAACCCCACGCTGCTCCCCGGGCGCCGCACCATGGCAGCCCACTGCTCCCCAAGGGGAGAATGTGTTAATGCAGAGTGAATGTCGTTGCTCTGTACTTGTGAGTGCAGAGTGTGGAATGAGAATAGAAACTGGATTGAACTGATGGACAGCGTCACGCCGACCCAGAGTGCATGCTGGGTAAAATCAACAAACATGTTGTTTTGTCTGTTTCTCACCATTTCCGCCTTGTCGTCCTGCCTGTCGCTTCCATCATCCAGGATCCAGATCAGCCAATACCGTCAGCGGTAAGGCCTCAGCTTCATCCAATCTGCTCCAAGCTCCTCCCCTTTTTCCTCATGTGCTCCAATCAGGGCCGTCCTGCTCCTCTGTCCGTCTGCCTGCAGCTGTTGCATGCTTCTCTGTG